TTGTTAAATCCCCTGCCAAGCTGTGGGATCTAGCTACACCTTTTTTAACTTCACTGTTTATGACCTTTTAACTAAACACAAATGAACAATATACCATGGAATCTGCTTATAACAGCAACTTGGTTAAAACATCAAAATTCTAAAGTTTCAAGCCCCAATTAGTTTAAACTGTGGTTATAGCAACAAACTCTTTGTCCCAATGATGTTGTTATAGCAGAAGGTTCAACTCAAATTGTATTCATATATCCAATGTGTTTGATAAGATTTTATAGAAATGGGGTAGAAGCAAGGGAACATGAAAGTCCTGACACATAATTTCCTTCTCTTAATCTGAATAAATTTCAATGGGAAGTGAGAGCATCTGACACATTCTGACTCAGCCGGCACATTTGTTTTCTTCAACCTAAAAACAACAACAACAAAAGGAATGATTTATCGGCACATCCTTCCTTTATCTGAGAGTTCATTCCACTTCCCTGCAGATCACTGCTACTGGCTACTGATGACTCCCCATATTGGGAAATATTTCACACAGCAAGGTAATGAATGCTGCTCCAACACCACACATGCTATGAAGGATAGATAGATATTGTTAACTATTCAGATTCTAAAACTTATAATAGAGACAACTCCTTATTAGCAAAGGGATTTATTTGTGGTATATTCAACCTTCTTAGAAAAACATGTTATTTTCATTGTGAATACTGTAAGTTTATTCCTATGAAAAAATAATAGCTTGACCAAACTGATGAAAAAGATTAAATAAAGATGTGATATTTCAAACTACTAGCAATGTTAGAACCAAGAAGAGAGCCTATGTAGTTGAGAGCATACTTACTGTCCTTCACGGAAGAAGTCTTTGAGGGTATTGGAAAACCTCTTGGAATATTTGACAAACTCCCTTTTACGTTGCTCTAGAGCCTGGACAAGACAGGTTGGGCATACAACTAGAGGAGACATTTGAAACACATTAATAGGACTAACTCTAAAGTTAACATGGGATATTGGTGAACAGGTGTAGATGACACTAAACCCAACTCAGCCTTTTATATTTTCATTTATGGCTTCTTACCTTTTTATCTAAGGTTTTTTGCAGCAGTTCCTGGCATAGATAGTTTGCTACTATCTTTAACCAAGCTACTGTTACAACATGGCTATTCTAGGGTATTGCTGAAAGTGCGCTATAAACTGAATAGTGCTTTGTATGTTATATATATAAAATCAAAAATCAATTTGGAGCTGGAACCAGGAAAAAATGGTGCAATATATGGGATAGTATTACAAACAAGAGTGTTATTGCAAGTTTTACTGTATATAGTGGAACCTGGTGATAAATTCATAATTCCATAGTTCCAAATGTTTTAGCAACAACATAAAATCTTGGATACCAAGTGATGTAACGAGGTTCAGAGCTGTCCATGGATATCTCCACTTTGAAGACTCAATTTATCACAAAGTACCAGGGATAGTTTAAGCACCTCAAATTATACCCCAAATATTAATTTAACAAAGCAATTCAAGTTTTTATTCCAGGACAAAAAAGTGGGAGCTGAAGTCAAGATGATAGGTGAGGAGCACAACTTTCTCTTGAGTGTAGAGCCCATAATTTATTTTCCAAGGGAGAGAGATTCCCTGAACCCAATGCCCACTAATAGTCTTCCCTAAATACCTCCATAAAACCAGAGATAGCTTCCCTAGAAAAATAATAGGTCAAAACAGATAGAGGATAAAAATGCAGAACTGTAAAGACAGAAACACAAGGTCTTAATGTGTTAGTAGGCCCTAAGCAAGTAATATCATTTAAAGGAAATTTTAAACATTGGCTGTAATGATATTTTGCTTAAACCCAAAAGATTGGGTTGGATAATGAAATCTCAAAAGACATCCCTGAACATCTCATTTTGTGCTTGAAACTTATTTTGGAGGTGAATCTAAAATTCTTGTATATAGTAGAATATATATGAGAATTAATTCTCCATGAGAAATATGAGAATTAATTCCTTGATAACACTCACCTATCTGATCTGTGCAAGCCCCCTCCATAAACTACAATTCTTTGACTCTACTAGAGAGTCAAAATACCAAACGAATCTACCACTCACAACTATTACAGAACCAATCATCAGTGATTGACACATGTATGACAAGTTTGGGAAATAAATTGTTTAATGAGATGGCTATACTGGCTGTTGACTAGGGAGGATTGATCATTTCTAATATTGTGGTTGAGTAAAATGGATTACACTTGAATCTTGAAACTTATAATTTGTCTATTTGAGAATGAAGCAAACTTTATATATAATTTAACTATTGGCAAAATATTCTAATTAGATTCAATAAACAAATTTTAAAAATTATCGGCGGACTAAATTATGATGTATATGGGTGTGACTAAAAATACAAAAAATCCTTATATTCGTGATGTCAAGGATACTTTTACTTAAAGAGACAACAGTTACACACAAGTTGCCTTCTTGGCTGTAAAATAAGGTTATTTTCTTCTCATAAGATGGCTTAAATAAAATTTTGAGATTTTTTTTAACAAATTATTTTGTTGGGTATATATGCATGTATATAGTCTACAATTTAAATGCCTGAAATTATGCATAGACACAAGAACAGAATTTAAGGCAAATATGGCACACAAAGAACTTGTAGAACAATGAAATGAATTTTTTAGAATGCTCAGAATTCTGAAGAGTTCACACTTCAGCTCATAGTAAAACATTTTAATTTAGAAAAGTAGAATACCTTCAGCCGCTCCCTCTTTCAAGGATAGACACATCCATAGCTGACAGGCAAGTAGTTATATTAGATATATAAGAAAATATTACATTTTTTAAAAAGGGTCTTATATAGAAGTTTAACATCCTCTCTCTCCCTTTGATAGCAAAAGATTTAGGAATAAAGTATTCCATTACACATAACTAAAGAGGAATCCTTCAATTAGACAAGAGATTCCTAGAAGGAACACAGATTTAGAGAACAGTAGCTGTATCTCTTACCCATATATGGGTGACCAAGCGCAGGTAGTCTGAGTGTATAGACATGTGGAACACTTCCACTAAAAGCAGCTACATCATGGCGTGTAATTGGGGAGAAGTAACCCTTGCTCATGTAATATCTTAATTAATGAAGCCTACTTCTCATACATGTGTTGGCTTATAAAATCAAAGCAGAACTGATTTAAGAAGAGAGGGGAAAGAGGATGAAATCATTCAAATTATTTTATAATAAAAAAGTGTATGTGAACTATTAATGACCCTATGACTACCCCCAACAACCTTTAAAGGGCTAACTTTATTCTACAATTCATCTTGCTATTTGGGTCCCAAAAGTTTAGAAAGAAAAAACCCGAGGAGGTCTAGTTTAAGGTATGTATATGAATGTCCTATAACAATTGGCAATGAAGAGAGGGAGGTGGTGGTTGTAATGAGGAATCAATGGTAGAGAGATTAAAACTGGCAACAATGAACCTCCTAAACTAGGCAACAATGAACCTCCTAAACTAGGCAACAATGAGCCCATCTGAACTAGGCAACAATGGATCAATCTAAACCAGGCAACAATGAACCTCCTAAACTAGGCAACAATGAGATTTTCTGAACTAGGCAACAATGGATCAATCTAAACCAGGCAACAAAGGACCCATCTAGACTAGGCAACAATGGATCCATTTAAACAAGGCAACAATAAACCTCCTAAACTAGGCAACAATGAGCCCTTCTGTACTAGGCAACAATGGATCAATGTAAACCAGGCAACAATGGACCAATCTAGACTAGGCAACAATGGATCCATCTAAACCAGCCAACAATGGACCTCCTAAATTAGGCAACAATGAACTCATCTGAACTAGGCAACAATGGATCTATCTAAACCAGGCAACAATGGACCTCCTAAATTAGGCAACAATGGACCCATCTAAATCAGGCAACAATGGATCCATCTACACTAAGCAACAATGGACTCATCTATACTAGGCAACAATGAAGAACCCATCTAGAATAGATAACAATGGACCCATCTGGACTAGGCAAAAATGGACCCATCTAAACTAGGCAACAATGGACCTCCTAAACTAGGCAACGATGGATTAATCTAAACTAGGCAACGATCGATTAATCTAAACTAGGCAACAATGGACTTATCTAAATTAGGCAACAATGGACCTATCTAAACCAGGCAACAATGGACCTCCTAAACTAGGCAATGATGGATCCATCTGAACTAGGCAACAATGGATCTATCTAGACTAGATAACAATAGATCCATCTAAACCAGGCAACAATGGACTTCTTAAACTAGGCAAGAGTGAACCCATCTAAACTAGGCAACAATGGACCTATCTAAACTAGGCAACAATGGATCCATCTAAACTCGGCAACAATGGATCCATCTAAACTCGGCAACAATGGACCCATCTAAACCAGCCAACAATGGATCCATCTAAACTAGGCAACAATGGATCCATCTAAACTAGGCTACAATGGATTCATCTAAACTAGATAACAATGGACCCATCTAAACTAGGCAACAATGGACCTATCTAAACCAGGCAACAATGGACCTCCCAAACTAGGCAACGATGGATCCATCTAAACTAGGCAACAATGGATCCATCTAGACAAGGCAACAATGAATCCATCTAAACGAGGCAACAATAGACTTCTTAAACTAGGCAAGAGTGAACCCATCTGAACTAGGCAACAATGGACCCATCTAAACTAGGCAACAATGGACCTATCTAAACCAGGCAACAATGGACTTTTTTTTTGCTTATCCCTAGTACACGTGGTACAGGCCATGATAATCATGGTGGGTAAAAGTAGGCGACTGCTTTTACTGTAAGCGCACCACATGTCTACACATGTGAAAAGCAGTTCGACTTTGCACTTACAAATGTGCCAGAGCCCCGTTTGATTACTTGCACTCGCTGGTGGGGTTAGACTTTTGCAAGAATCGGAGGCCATTGGAGCATTTTTTTTATCAGAAAAAAGTGCCCAATGCGGGAATCGAACCCGGGTCGTAGTGGTCGAAAACCAAACGGTTTAACCAGCCTTCCACCGACAATGGACTTCTTAAACTAGGCAAGAGCGAACCCATCTAAACTAGATAACAATGGACCCTTATAAACTAGGCAACAATGGACCTATCTAAACCAGGCAACAATGGACTTCTTAAACTAGGCAAGAGTGGACCTATCTGAACTAGGCAACAATGGACCCATCTAGACAAGGCAACAATGGACCCCTCTAAACTAGGCAACAATGGACCCATCTAAACCAGGCAACAATGGACTTATCTAAACTAGGCAACAATGGACCCCTCTAAACCAGGCAAAAAGGACTTCATAAACTAGGCAAGAGTGGACCCATCTCAACTAGGCAACAATGGACCCATCTAGACTAGGCAACAATGAATCCATCTAAACCAAGCAACAATGGACTTCCTAAACTAGGCAACAATGGACCTATCTAAATCAGGCAACAATGGACTTCCTAAACTAGGCGAGAGTGGACTATCTAAACTAGGCAACAATGGACCTATCTAAACCAGGCAACAATGGACTTCCTAAACTAGGCAAGAGTGGACCCATCTGAACTAGGCAACAATGGACCCCTCTAAATTAGGCAACAATGGACCCCTCTAAACCAGGCAACAATGGACTTCATAAACTAGGCAAGAGTGGACCCATCTGAACTAAGTAACAATGGACCCATCTAGACTAGGCAACAATGAATCCATCTAAACCAGGCAACAATGGACTTCCTAAACTAGGCAACAATGGACCTATCTAAACTGGGCAACAATGGATCCATCTAAACTAGGCAACAATGGACTTCCTTAACTAGACAACAATGGACCTATCTAAACTGGGCAACAATGGACCCCTCTAAACCAGGCAAAAAGGACTTCATAAACTAGGCAAGAGTTGACCCATCTCAACTAGGCAACAATGGACCCATCTAGACTAGGCAACAATGAATCCATCTAAACCAGGCAACAATGGACTTCCTAAACTAGGCAACAATGGACTTCCTAAACTAGGCAAGAGTGGACCCATCTAAACTAGGCAACAATGGACCCATCTAGACTAGGCAACAATGAATCCATCTAAACCAGGCAACAATGGACTTCCTAAACTAGCAACAATGGACTTCCTAAACTAGGCAAGAGTGGACCCATCTAAACTAGGCAACAATGGACCTATCTAAACCAGGCAACAATGGACTTCCTAAACTAGGCAAGAGTGGACCCATCTGAACTAGGCAACAATGGACCCCTCTAAATTAGGCAACAATAGACCCATATAAACTAGGCAACAATGGACCCATCTAAACTAGGCAACAATGGACCCATCTAGACTAGGCAAAAAGGACCCATCTAAATTAGGCAACAATGGACCTATCTGAACCAGGCAATAATGGACCCATCTAGACTAGGCAACAATGAATCCATCTAAACCAGGCAACAATGGACTTCCTAAACTAGGCAACAATGGACCTATCTAAACTGGGCAACAATGGATCCATCTAAACTAGGCAACAATGGACCCATCTAGACTAGGCAACAATGGACTTCCTAAACTAGGCAAGAGTGGACCCATCTGAACTAGGCAACAATGAATCCATCTAAACTAGGCAACAATGGACCCATCTAGACTAGGCAACAATGGACCCATCTAAATTAGGCAACAATAGACCCATCTAAACTAGGCAACAATGGACCCATCTAAACCAGGCAACAATGGACTTCTTAAACTAGGCAAGAGTGGACCCATCTGAACTAGGCAACAATGGACCCATCTAGGCTAGGCAACAATGGACCCATCTAAATTAGACAACAATGGACCTATCTAAACTAGGCAACAATGGACCCATCTAAACTAGGCAACAATGGACCCATCTAAACTAGGCAACAATAGACCCATCTAAACTAGGCAACAATGGACCCAACTAAACTAGGCAACAATGGACCCATCTAAACCAGACAACAATGGACCTATCTAAACCAGGCAACAATGGACCTATCTAAACCAGGCAACAATGGACTTCTTAAACTAAGCAAGAGTGGACCCATCTGAACTAGGCAACAATGAACCCATCTAAACTAGGCAACAATGGACCCATCTAAACAAGGCAAAAATAGATCCATCTTAACATTTAATCTAGACAACAATGAAGCCATCACAAAATCTATAATTTGGACAACTATGGATTCATTCCAACACCTAATGACAAAAACAATAGAAACCTACTAAAACACTATTTCAACTTCTAATTTAAGTAATAAAGTAGATCTGATTAAAGTGAAATAAATTAAAATCTTACAAAAATTATATAAAATAAAGAACCATATTGTTGTACTATCTATTAGGACTGACATAATAGGTAACAAAGGCCACCATTTAAATATATAGACCACAAAGTTTCCCATTTAGCCAACAATACATAGCTGCTACATTTCCAATAAAGAAACGACAAAATATAAGGGGAATAATGGATAATTCCAAAATTCCTGAGTGCACAAGGGTCAAAATATACAAATTAGTTTCCATTAAAGGTCCTTAATTAAAAAAACAAAGTTTTTGAACTCTGAACAAATAGTATAAGTTTAAAATTTCAAGCTTCTTGCTCCTTTTTAAACATGAATGAATAAATAAACACACACTCTTCTAACTTCTTTAGAATGACATGTTGATATGTGTCTATCAATACCAATTATTTCTTAGGACAACAGCTAAAAAATAACACCAGACACTCAATCCAAATAAATTAATAGTGTGTGACGATTCGTTAACAGCGTTGTTACCATCATCAGACAAAAGAATAAATAAGAAAAAATATCACAGCATGTTCTCAAATAAATATCCATTGTGAGTCAAGTCACCCTTGATTACAATATGGTGACAAGAGGTTTGGATGAGACTCCATTACCTGTTTGCCAGTAGGGGAGGGGATATAGCCTGCCACCTCATTGACAGCATCTAGGAGCTTCTTAATGGCACTGGCGATTTCCCTGCACCCACCCAGCAATGTCAACTACCTTCACCATAGATGGAATGGTAGACATTTTTCTACACAAATTTAAATTGTTTATAAACAACCAGAGCACATAAAACCAAATGAAATAAGGGTATTGTAAAATACAACTAATAAATATGGCTAAATCTCCAACCACTTTTTTATTTAGACGTTTCAGTGACTTGCTGTGACTGAAACATCGGGAACTAAATAAAAAAGTGGTTGGAGATGTAGCCATATATTTTTCCAAACATGCTTCCAATGCTCAAATGATCTTCAAAACTAATCAATATGCTAAATAAAACAAGTTTTCTCCCTTTTAATTCAAATAAAAATTTGTTTGCACTCTATTATTCTGGTTTGAAACTAGGTGAATTGAATGTGCTAAGAGAGGCTGGCATTAAATGCACTAAACTGGACCTTTGGGAGAGGCCGCTGCTTATCATCAAACAGCTTGAGGAACATCAACTCATGGAAAATGTGTGATCTTTACACAAGGGGATAAGAAACATCAACAAACAAGAGAGGGAGATGTCTTCCAACTATCCACATTCTATATAATTACAAGCACTATATTTATCTCCAAAACAACTCAAGATTGACTTGATTCCTTTATTGCTGTCAATGTAATCCTCAAATGGTCATGTTGTTTCTTATCCCCCTGTGTAAAGATTACACAAATTCCAAAAATGGTCATGTTAGCACAGACACTAGGCTGTGTTTGATTGGATGGTCCAATCCATTGGAAGCCCCTTCCAAGGAACACTACACTCAGTAACTGCCAGGATCTAAGCAAAGCCTTCATCCTGGACAAGAGGCCAAAATTTCTGCATTAAAACACCTGAACAGATGAAACAAACTTCACCCATCAAAAGCTGGGAGTTTTGTTTCTAGCCCACTTTACAGAACAGATATATTGCACTATCCTCTTCCACTATTGAGAAGGAAGAAAGTGTGTTTGAATGCATCGATTGACTTTTGCCATGATCATATGTTTTCAGAAGTGTTCTATAGCTAGGCTAGGGTAGCTTAAAAAACATTCAAATAAACGGGTCCATGGTATAACAAAAAGTTATTTTTTTTATGTCATCAACTATGGTTTTTAAAGTATTTGAAGCCAGAAATGACAAGTTCAAAACAAAATCTAGTCTTCAGAAGAATATGTGGAAGCTGGAATTGGAATATTACTTTCATTTGAAAGGCAATGATTGAAGATTGCTTTCAATCAACAAAGTATTACAGACTTTTAAAGTAATATTTTGTATTATAGAATGTAATATGATACATTTTTTTCAAAATAACCATATATATATATTTTAATACATCATGAATAAAGCTCTGCCTAGAAATTGTCTTGATTGGTAAATTAGAAATAGAGGTATATAATAAATTTATATAATGAAAGGATTTAAAAGCATGAATGTTTCTTTTATACATAATACAAACTTCTACTGCCCTTACTGCGATGAAAAATATATTGGGAGGGCTTGGCTCATCATTGGTGAACCCTCCCAGCGGTTTCGCCAATTTAATCCACCAGACCGTTTCTCAGAGCTCTAATACTGTATTGGACGATTCTGCTTATATAAGCAGCACTGAAGGATGGAATCTCAGAAATGGTTTTCAAGAAAACTATGGACATAAGTTTATAGGACAGTAGAAATACATTCAAATACTTGCATCGAGCAATACTCTTCCGCAAACAATAAAGACAAGGTCAGGTAGACATAAATTAACACAAAGCAATAACGTGCCATCTATACATATAAAATGAAAAGATTTAAAAGCACGAATGTTTCTTTTAGAAGTTTGTATTATGTATAAAAGAAACATTCGCGCTTTTAAATCCTTTCATTTTATATATATAGATGGTGTGTTATTGCTTTGTGTTATATAATAAATGGAAGCATTAAAGCATGAATGTTTCTCTTTGAATATATACAAACTTCAACTACCCTTACTGCGATGAAAAAATATTGGGGGAGGCTTTGGCTCATCAGTGGTGAACCCTCCCAGAAATTTTGCCAATTTAATCTACCCGACTGCTTCTTAGAGCTCTAATACT